CTTACTGCATTTAGTCCAGTCAGCCCATTTAGAGTACCCACCGTCAACATCGGCTGATTGTTGATCTTAAAAGGTGTAGAATACAAAATAGTCTATGAGGTAAAACCTGTCATGATGATAGCATAACACTTTCTTGTTTTTAAAGTATCGCCATAAGTCGAAAAACACTTGTTTTAAAGGCCCAGTTTGTACCATTATGCTTTGCGCGCCTCTGTTATGGTTATGATTTACACCAAAATACTTCTAGTATTTAAGTATCACCATAAAACGAATGTCAGATGGTTGAAAACTCTAATATTAGCATTTCAAGTGCTTAGAAAAAKGAGATGTTCAAAGAGTCGCACAGTACAATTTATAGACTTTCGGTAAACTGAAAATGGCCGCCCGAGGGCCCCAAAGCATGATTTATTGCAAACAAAATACTTGCATATAAAAAATGATCGTTTTGTTAAGGTACTAATTTGTATATAAAAATACATATGCTATTTCGAGTTCCAGAAAATTTTCTTTTTATTCAAATGCTCTGAAAATCAATGAAATAAATAAAAAAGAGTTAATAAGAAAGCAGCGATTTAAATTTTAGAATAGCTATTTAATTTTTTTACATGAACTCGGTATGAAATTTGGCTATTTTGAGAGCTATTTTTAGCAATCAAGCATYTGTCACGCAAAGGTCCAGTATGTGACTTTAATTAGCGATTTTCTTGCGAAAAATGAAATATTTTCAAAAACCAATTACACATCGATTGTTACCTAATCGTACTTTATCAATGTACAAAATATGAATAGATTTGATTTTTCGAGCCTTGCCAAAAACTTTCAATTTTGTCTGTTTTTTGCGCGAAGCGGCTCTTAAGACTTTTAAGTTTTAAAAAACCTCCTCGTTCCTGCTTCCAAAAAAAAGGTCTACGTCAATTCTAGGATAGGTTACTTCCACAAGATCGTTGGATAAATAAGGACCATCTTCTTATCCATAAGATATTAGCATGTGAACATAAATTGATCATATGAAAAACGAGCGGAATGGAAATGAGCACCTTAAACGATCCAGATTTTTAAAAATCTGTTTATACTATAAGAAACAGTATATTTAAACTAGTAAACTGTGGTAGTTTAATTTTCTAATGTTGAATATCGGCAGAGCTACGAGCATTTGAAACTTGCGAAAAAACGTGAAATCGAGGCTGGCTTACTTTCAGATCTTAATCATTATAATATGTTCTTCCAACAACTAKTAATGCTATATTGTAGAACTCATATGGCGTTATGATTGCCACGCCCTTTTTCATGTGGTCTATAGGAATCAACTAAAGGGTTTTTGGATGAAAATGTGACGTTATATAGTATGCTATGAGCGACATAAAGTACGCCGATATAYAATATCAGCTTACCATCTTTTAGTCGATAGACATAATTTATTAGAGGTCCGCCAACACACTCCTGAGGGTTATTCTTGTCACAAGGAGGGGGAGGGTTGCCAGTTAATTGTAAAGATTTTGAGGGATCTGCACTTCCATATTCGGCAAACTTTGCTTCCGCTAATGGACCGCTCCAGCATTCGCCATAGAACTGCAGACCAAAGACTTTATAGCCTTTTTTCTTTGCAATTTCKGCGCAACGACAAGCCAGACTGAAAAGAAAGAAACAGTGTACAATTCTTTATTGAACTCCTTTACTCATTATTTTTACTTTATTAAAGTGCTACTTGCATTGCATGAAAATGCTCTTATTTCAAAACTTCAAGCAATACAAATATATGACTCATTTATATCTATTAAAAACAATTGCGGGAAAATATTTGTTTTGGAATTATCCCACATCAGAGAAATTTTTKATTCAAAAGATGGAAGAACAAAAGGAATGAGTAAATGACGTCATTTACTCCAACATTTTTTGCTTAAATTATCAAGTATTTGTATTAGTATCTTCTTGAAATCTGTTGCTTCATGATTATTAGACCCATATGGATAGTTCTATTTGATTTCCAAGTCTTTTCTAATGTTTCGYAATTTTCTTCCAAGTAGCCCTTTAAATAATCTATGTTCAACCTTCTAAAGAAACAGTTGTGAAATTTGACAAATTCCGCCTAACACCGTAAAARGGATGAGCAATATTTTATTGACATTTCGGACGTTTGGTTTTACCATTAAGCTTCCCTCGGCTTGGGGAAAATTTCAAGATTATATGCGAGTTTCAAAAATGCAGGTTGTTCACGACCGCCAATATCCAGGGACTACATTGACGAATCATGGGAACAAGACCTCAAAGGCCTTCCATCTAGAAATCACTACGAAGATCGCATGTATGGCATAGTAAAATTTTGAAAGATGTATTGTTGGTATGTTATTTATAACAGAACWCTCTTCCAAGTCTCCATGGAAATTTGCTATACGGAGGCTGGTCTTTGAGACATCAATTAAGTGCTTCGTCCCCAGTGCCCTGGTCGGCGACCGTGACCTGTCACTCCATTTCTGAAAGTCATGAATTACATGAAAAATGATATACCTGTGGATGGATACTTCGAATTTGTACCAGTCYAGTTTATGACCATCGTTCTTGTCGCTTGTACAGTCTCGATCATTTAACAGCAATTCTGGCATTACTCTGTTGTCCTTTTCAATGAACCCACCGACTTTTTCATACTTTCGTTCACAGCTAATATGCGGTAAATCACAGCCAGCAGATACTTCTGTAAAAAAACATTCATGAGGAAATATGAGGCCTTAGTCAATCGTGCAAACCGGCCTCATGCGACTGATTCAGCATAATAAGATAAGGRGTAAAAGACTGGAGTAACTTTTATTTTATCCTGTATACAGTGGTAGAATGACGAAAATGTTTGCGGAAAATTCCTGGATCCTTCCCTAGTTCTCTAGTTCCTCATTTCAWGTACCTGTATGGAAGTACTGTACCAGAATAATCACTAACACCAAGACTTTATCCATCGTCGCTACAAATACCTGATAATTGATAGATATATAGCATTATTAACCAGCGTWCCAAACATCAGAACAACTCAGCATGCAATCAAATCTATTCACAGTCAATGAACAATGAATAATGAACTATTTGAAGAACAACAAGAATCTTGACGTCAAATAAAGCAATTACACAGCTAACAAAARCCTACTCCTTCCACGAAATCAAACAGTCGAATAACCCGGAGAAAGACCCTTGGAGTAAAATCGGAAAAACTAATTTCTGAACTCGCTGGGATTCAAACCCACGACCC